GATCGCCTCCATGTTTTCGCCATTCTGGTTTGTCTCATGGCCCTGATTTTTGTTGCGTTGAAACACAAAAATTACTTTTCCAAGAAAATCAAGTTGTGTAGCACTTATTTTTTACCATTCCTTCGGAGCACGGAGCACTCTAAACATTGTCCTGGGCACGTAACATATTGTTCTGATTCTTTCCACCAAGTCCGTCCATAATTTTTGTGCTATTCTAATCACATCAGATAATTTTGTAAACTCAAATTTCAGTTCTTGCTCCTATTTTATTTTATTTAGTCCAAAAAAACGAAGGGTAAGCAGAGATGCTAGAAACAACGAAACCACTGAATGTCTACTGTAATAGCGAAAGTGGCTACGATTCCCCGCATGCAAGTGTTGAATCATCCAGAAGAAATTCGATTGGATTCAAAGAATATGTGAAAAGTCGGCGTTACAGTATGATGAGTAAAGTAGGCGCCAATCAGCTTCTTTTACAGTATATTTGCATCCTCACTTAGTGTTCATCATTTCAGCCGAATCGGGTAACGATACCAATACCGTCAACATGCGATGCTTCAAGGAGAACAAGTAGTTCGGATTCAAACGTCGAATCATCTGTTCCTGACGATTTAGACGATATTGACCTATCACCGAGACCCCTATATCAGCGAAGGATGAGTGTGCCAGAAAAAGTGTTTCTTAGTGCTGTGAGTGCACAACCATTTTTATTTGGAAAAATGTCATATTTTTCAGGACTACGCAATCCTGCGACCATCGACAGAAGCAGATGTAAAATTTGAAATAGTCGCTGCTTTTGGTTAGTTTGGTGTAAATCTGAATCCCATTCTCTCAATCTTAACCGTTACGGAATACTGCATTCCCCGCTTTTACCAATGTAGCTTATCACTAGCCGTTTACGAAGCGTCATACGAATGTAAACAATGTTTGCTGCTCTTCTAAATATAGTTCACACTGTTGATATCAACTCCGGGGATTAATATAGCCAAAAATGTAAATTAACGTTTTCGCACATCAAGGAACATTTTTTTCAGATCGTTATACTGATCCCTATCGTCATTATATGCAATCTCTCACCTGTTACGATCTCCAACCTACCCATGGTGCTGTGGTTGTGATTGATGGGGATTTGAAGGTGTAGTTAGTTTTTCATTTTTGCAGAAAATGAGGCAGCACATCTTCAGTCATAATGCCAGCCATTTGTCCTACTTTTTTATAGCTAGTCATAAATTTTGAAGGAAAAAAGTAATGCAGCAAAAATTTCCCTCCATCTTTCATTTTCCACATATCTGAATTTCAGATTCACAAAGCCTTGACAGCTTTGAGCCAATGCGGTCATCAAGTCGCCATCGTATCCAACTTGGACGTCAAAGGTTCCGTTTTGTTTTCTTGAGCACTAACAATGAAGAGTACAAACAGCAATCTCAGGAGGCTTCGGAATCATCACGGTGACGGATTGCCTCAAGGCCATTGTTCTAGCTTCAGAGGGAGTGCAAAAAGTTGCCGAACAAACGGTTGCTCAGTTTCTAAAATCGAACAATCGGAAACAGCTGGTGACGACCGATGTGAATACGAGGTAACCTGCCAGTCACATTGGAAAGATGTTTTTCTGGATTAACTTCTGTCAATAATGTCAGCTGTACTGAGTTATTCTTAGTGTCTCGAATCTAAAGTCGAAACTGAAGGGCATGGTAAAATTCATACGATATACGAAATTTCACATTATTCAACACAAAATCTTTTCGAAATTTTTCGAAAGCACCTACATGTTTTTCTTTTTTTTTACAATTCACTAATAACCAAAATTGTATACTTTATCTACTTCTCGCGCACATGAGCTACTTGTCCAAATATTTCATTGTAATGGACTGTTTTACCTTCTAACACCTTCAAGAGAAAATGAAG